TTGTTTCAGGGTTTGTTTCCAGGAGAACTCAATCTGTGAAAGGCTCCCCATTTCATACTGAGTAAATGCCAAAATCCCCACAATGCTTTACATGGCCTTACGTAATTTGGCCTTTTATTTCTTCTATGACTTCTACTATGTTTCCCTCACCCATATGGCACCAGCCAAACCAGCCTCCTTACTGGTCTATGAACATGGCTACCTAAGGACATGTTCTTGAGTAGTTCTTCTAGATATATGATTGGCTAAATCTTTTCATTCATTTATTTACTCAATTGTTATTATTTCCATAAAATCCTCTTTAATCTTCCTGTTGAATATTGTACACTTCTTCCTTCTTGCTGTGCTCTAATTTTCCTTTTATGCATACAGTTATCATGTTTTTGACATCCCAAATAATATACTTACTTATTATAGTTATTATTTACTATAACCTCCCTTTGCTTGAATGTAAGTTACATGAGGCAGGCATCATGGACTGTTTTGTTAACATGAATCCCAAGTGCCTAGGTACAGTGTCTGGAACAAAGCAGGGGTTAAATAAATTTGTTGAACAAATGAATAAATAAGTGGATTTAACAGTAGAAACAAAGTGCATGTTGAGGGAGGGTGATGAGGAAGGGAGAATATGAACAAGTTGTGTAGAAGATGTCAGCTATGATTTACTTTGACTTGTCCCTTAGTGCTCCCGCTTCTTTCCCATTTCATCATGAAAATATTGCTAGAAAATAATGATGAGAGGATTACTTGGAATCAAGAGACCTAGGTTCATGTCCAGCAATCTTACTGACTCTGTGACTCTGGTTTCTTTTATTTATTTAAGCTTGATTTCCTCATTTGTAAAATGGAACTAGTAACACTTAGTTTCCAGTGTCTTATGAAGATTAAGATGTGATTGGTGCATAATAGGTGTTCAACAAATGCTATTACTATGCCAACACCTTTAAGCAACAAGTGATATAAACAAAATGGAGCAAATGTGTATGCTTGACAATATAACCAGAAAAATAGGTACACACATTGATTGCATTATATATAGGCTTAAATTTTAACTCTATGCTATGTATCTACTTCGTGAATTTAGGGTAAGGAAGGAAATTTGACCCATTTCCATTTAATTAGTGAGCTCCTAGACCTTTCATTTATTGTCAAGATTCAAGATAATGATTAAAAACACTATCTTATGCTCTGTAATATTCTTTGACCTCTAAAAATACTAGAAAAACAACAGAGAGATGATGTTAGCTGTACCGAACAGCAGAAAAGAATCATGGGGTATAGGTCTCAGTGTAAATACATTACTAAACAGCTTGTCCGGAGGGGTTTGTTTAGGGAAATTCCAGGTCCTGGAAGGGAACTTCCAGATCTGAATATAACTACAACCTACACGTAATACACACCTCCTCCCCAAGATGAATTGAAGTTCACCTGGTCATCATAAATTCCTTAATGAATATGACATCATCAACCAACCAAAGGAAGGGTACAAGTAACGTTGATCAACCAGGAACTTGGAAACAAACTAAACATGCACCTTTTTTCAGCCACAATTATAAGAATCTTTAGCCCAGGACTGGCATACTGTGTAAAGCTGTCACTGTGATACCGGCATCCCAGATGGGCACCAGCTTGAGTCCTGGCTCCTATATAGCTCCCTATTAATGGTCTGAGAAGAGCAGCAGAAAATGGCCCAAGTCTTTGGGCCCCTGCCCCCCACGTGGGAGACCTGGATGGAGCTGCTAGCTCCTAGTTCAGCCATGGTCATTGTTGCTATTTGGAGAGTGAGCCGGCAGATGGCGGCACTTGCTCACCCTCTCTCTCTTTCTCTACCTCTGACTTTCAAAGGACTGTCTTACTTTCACTCAGTTATTTGCTCAAATATGCACTCAGTCCTTTCCCAGACAACCCCTAGCTAAAGTATCTCCCTTATTTCAATCAATCTCTGTTTCATTGCTCTGATTTGTTTACTTCATACAATTTGCCATCCTTCGAAATTATGTAGGTTATCTGTGTACATCTTTGTGGCCTTTGTCTCTCTTCCCCATAAGAATCTTAGCTTCTTGAGAGTATGAACAGTATCTGTCTCCTTCATCAGTACTTGCAAAATCCATAAAAAAGTAGTTGGAATAAACAGATGATTGAATTTCCAAAACAGAATAATACTCTGATCTTCTAACCACCCAGGAATACTATGAAAATTAATGAGTTCTCTGGGAAAGCAATATCTTTTTTTTATTTATTTATTTGACAGGTAGCGTTATAGACAGTGAGAGAGAGAGAGAGAGAGAGAGAGAGAGAGACAGAGAGAAAGGTCTTCCTTCCGTTGGTTCACTCCCCAAATGGGTGCTACGGACAGCGCTGCGCTGATCTGAAGCCAGGAGTCAGGTGCTTCTTTCTGGTCTCCCCATGCAGGTGCAGGGGCCCAAGCACTTGGGCAATCCTCTACTGCCTTCCCTGGCCACAAGAGAAAGCTGGACTGAAGAGGAGCACCCGGGACTGGAACCTGGCGCCCATATGGGATGCCGGCACCGCAGGCGGAGGATTAACCAAGTGAGCCACGGAGCCGGCCTGCAATCTCTTTTAACAGGAAAGGAAAGAGCCATGTAGACCCGAAGAATTATTTAAATAATTCTTTTCACATTTTAAAAACAGAATTTCTGGAACTATATTCAGTAGTTAAATGTCATTACTAAACATGTGGTTTAACCAAAATGACATGGGCTCTGCCCTCTTGGGAATTAATCTTTGTTAAGTACCTGTGCAGCATAATGCTATGTGCTAAGGATATAGTTTCTCATTTAGTTCTTTGTTGGACTTTTGTTGGGAGGTCCTTATTACTGATTCAATCTTCATCTTGGTTATTGGTCTATTTAGGTTTTCTATTCCCACTATCATAATGAAGAAATAGGCTTAGAAAGATTTAAGTGACTAGCCCAATATGGAACCTAGAATTAATGTTCAGTCAGTTGACATCATCATTTCTTTCTCCTATTTCATGTTGTCTAGAGATAATGTGGTCCTCAGATCTGCATTTCCTAGGTCAAGTTAAATGATATGATATTCCTTCATGGAAACAGGCATTTCCTAAAACACTGAGGGAAGAAAATATAATTTTAACTTTCACTGGTTTCCTAAAATTCTAGTTGAAAGACATGTGGATATTTTGGAACTTTACAAGATTAGAAAAGCCAAGTTCTTCACCCCAAACTAAGACTAGTGAGAACAAGGACAAAAGACTTGTAAGGAGTTAAGATAGGGGGCAAGCCTGATTTCTCTTACCATTCACCGTTTCCTAATCATTAGTGATGGTAAGAATCACCTAGACTGTCTGGTATAGCTTTCCCAGGTGCCTCTTCAGACAATTTGAAGATGGGGCTCAGAAATTTGTTTTAAAGAAGCACTACAGGTGAATCCTTGCTTCAGGTAAATTTAGGAAACAATGACTTTGGCTTTACTCAATTACCACCTACAAGTCAATGATTTTCAATGTGCGGTTCCTGGACCAACAGCAATCTCAGATGAGAAATTATTATAAATATGATAAGTTTTATAAATTCTTGGACCCTACTTTAGACCTATTAAATGAGAATCTGTATTGGTGTGCCCTCGAAATCTTTATTTTAACAAATTCTCCAGGTGATTATAGTATGTGCTAAAGTTTGAGGCCTACTGTACTGAATAAACTCTAGTCATGGACAACAACAGTAAAATACTGTTATTGGTCAAGATATGCCTCCAAGAGTGACCTTCCCAGAAAACAACAAGGCTCTGACTAGATGATTCAATCAACTTCCAGGATATGGAGTCTTTGTGTAACAGGGCATGATATTTGCTTTGGACCAGAAACTTCTGTGTATGGGTTCCTATTTCCTCCACTTTACAAATAGTTTTTATCAGATTTCTGTTTATCTCAACACTAGTTCAGATTTGGTATGTTGAGGTGAAGAACAGTTTATAATTTAAGAAAGACAGGCCAGAAAATGGATTCAAAGATGGACACATATCAACTAGAGGTCCTGAACTTAATGCTAAGTTCAGTAACTGGATACTTTAGGTTTTTTCTTTTTTGGGAATATAAACTCAACACATATATGTGTAGATATTTTAAAAATTGGATATGTGGCAAGAAAAGGTCCATGGATCGTAGGTACTCAAAGAAAGAAGGAATAATAGACATTTGGGACTGCTTCCCAAAAGCCCTTGGTTTTATCTAAAATACGTTTGGTACTAGGGAGATACACCCCAGGGTCCACAAATGGAACAATGACTTGAATAATCAGTGTATTTCATCCATGAAACTGCAGAGGTCCAGGTATGTGACCTTAGCCAGCTCAGAATACATCACTGGACAGAGATTATCTATCTTTTTCCGGGCTGGAATTGTTGCAGCTTAGAACTACTGGTATAGTTTAGTACCATAAGGAAAGGCAGGCTGAGAATGAAACTGACACACAGAGGAAGCAACCTAAAGAGTCACAGGCCCTATGCCTGAAACCCATCCATCTGACTTCCAGATTTTTCTTTTCCTTTTTTCAGTTATATGAATCAATTAATTTTGGTAACTGTTTAAACATGTTTGGGTTCCTGTTACATTGAGGAAAGTTTTCACAGAAACAGCAACTCAAAGCTATTGGCATAAATTTGCACAAAACAGATGTGAATTCAAGGTTAAATAGAAAAAAAATTGTTCATTTAATTTTTAGATTACTGTTTATATCATCTTAACTTTTCCCACAGTTTCAATGTAAAGTTGATTATTCCTTTAACTTCCCTCAATAAAAATATACTGGCCTCTTTAAAGGAGTTACTCCCACAAAATATATCATGTTAACATATATCTCATATTCTACTATTCAAAAAAATTTGGCTGGCCAAAATTGTGGGTTCGTAGGGTCATATAAACTTGCAATAATCTGGGTTAGGGCTTGAAGGTTTGAATTAGTCACACCTCCTTCCCTTCCAGATTCTGAACCAACTAAAAAATATACACAGGAATCAAATAGGGATTAAAATATCAGCTTTAATATGTTATTTAGTGAAAAAAAGCAAATATCAGAACGGCATGTATACTATGCCACCATTTGTGTTTTTTTTTAAACTGATACACACACATACTCACACACAATACGCTTGTAAATACATGGAATATCTTTGGAAGGATACAAAAGTAACTGGTAACAGTAGTTACCTTTGGAAATTAGGACTAGAAGACTGAGGCCAGGGTGGGAATTAGGAAAAGAGACTTATTCTTTACTGTATATCCTTTTGTATTGTTTGACTTTTACCACAAACCTACACTATTTGTTTTTAAAAACCAATTTATATATTAAAAATAATAAAAATAGATACTAGCTTCATTGTTGATAGAGCTAGATTGGAGAACACAGCTTGGACCTGAGGCTAAAGCGAACTTCTACCCCAAATCTAAAGACTTAGGGATTCCCTTCCTCAAGCAGAAAGTTAGGTCTACTGAGCAAACGTTTGCCCAGCCATGTACTGAAAGACTGAAGTTTTTCCCATACTTTGCTGTGAGGAATGAGTTGATGAGCCAAGAAGAGCCTAAGCTCCCTATCCTTTATAACCCTTTACTCAGTTTCATTAGATTTACTCCTCCCCCCATACCAAAATAAATATTAAGAGGTTATGGGCAGAAATTTTCTTCCAAATATTTTTGAGAGGTAAAATTCTTTTATTTTCTTGAGTCAGGAACATGGAGAGAGGCAGAGGATAGACTTCATCACACTTTTAGACATTTTTGTCCTTTTAAGCCACAGTAGTTAACACTTCAGGCTCTGGTCAACAAACAGGCATGTGGCTTGGCTGTCCCCTTCTAGGGAGAGACCAGAAACACCTTTCTTAGGAAAGTTCTGTTACCATCTGTGTAAAATTGGTGAGCAAGTCTAGTTAAGTCCTTCAGAGCCTCTGAAATGGGTCATCATAGGGCAGGAATTAAATTAACTCCAAGGTTACATTACACCCCCATCTAAAAATCCACTACTTTATCTCTAAAATTTACAATTATGTCTAGCCATACTACCTGACATAACTTACGAAAATTATAAAACGACCTCTGAAAACATCATTAAATAGTGCAGATAATACAATGTCAACAACGTAATGAAAATGCCTTAATTTGAACTCTACAATACCCTCCCCAACCATTAAATAAATGCTCCAAATTAAATTTCTATTAAAGTCCAAAGGAATTAGTGTCCAAAATTTTGCCTTTCTTAATGTCTTGTTTTTCTCATTTCAGCCATATAGATCTCACAAAGATGTCTGGATAAATATGAGTGGGAATCCTTCAGCAGCTGCAGCCTGGGCTGTCTTCCTCTTGATTGGGTGTAGTTCCTTCAGGACCTCAGGAGCTGAATTACTCTAACCCCACAATTGCATGTCACACATTTTCAGAGTCCAAAGAGTCAATAGGACAATAGATTATTAAGGTATCAACCTCCCATCCAAAAAAAAAAAAATGAGAAAGCACACTAATTCCCAGCCACTAGAACTGGTACCCCAAGCAAATTTATGTTCCAGGAATTAGGGCAATACAGACCCATATTGCTATTGTCAGTCAAATGTCATAGATGAGACTTAGTGCCACCAGAAAGAAGGAAAGTAGACAGAAAAACATGTGGGAAAAAGAATATCTTCTTGGTTTCATCCTCAGCATGATGCCAGGCTCTCTGTGCCAGTAGTCTGGACTCCATGACCTGTGAACTTAAACTAATTTGGAAGATATCTCCCAAGTGATTGATTGTACTGTCATAAGTACCAGCCCCAAATATGCATACGTTCAAGGTCTTATTAACTTTCTACTGTTAACAGAGTTTATGTCAGAACCCCAATGAGAAAGCACTGGCTTTGGCCCGGTACTCTTCTTCAAAACCTTACTAATTTTTCAAGCTTTTTTTTCTAGGTTTTTGTTAAATTTCACTTAATGCCATCAAGAATGGAAAATACAAAATCCCTTCCTTTGCTTAATTTTCTGTTGCCATAGTGTTCAGTCTTATCTGCATATGAGTTTCTTAGGGCCAACCAAGAAACAGAATAGAGTTGAAAAACAGAACACTTAAAAAAAACCTGTTAGATTTTTATCTACCAATGCCAGCACTTAAAACATCATTAGGCCTACAGATTATCTAACACTGAGTATGTTTCATAGTCCCATTGGGACACTAGGATAGATGAGTCTTCCCATCTATGCAAATAAGCAAATCCTGTTTTCAATCTTTCCTGCTTCTTGTAAATAACCTGTTCACCTCCTATGTTGTAACTCTGAAGTTTGCTAAGAATCAAAACTAAAACCTAATTAAAATTTTTGAAGAGTCTCTCTTGGACCAAGATAGAAATCTGTATCAGTCGGATTCCAGATTTTTGCTTTTTCAATTTGAGGATCTGGACATGCCTGTCACCCCTGGTTAAAACCAGCCTTTGCCCCAATGACTGAGGACTCTATCTGGGGCCAAGTTTAATGCTCCATGGGGCTAGCAAACCCCACTTGTGCTGAAGTCTGCCTATGCAGCTTGCATCTGTTAAAATCCACTCTATGTCTGTAGATATCTCTAGAACTATTACAGAAAAGAGAGCTCTTAATGCCTCTGAGCACCAAAATTCATCTCCACCAGAAATCTTGATCTCTCCACTTGGAATTTAGTCCTCAAGTGCTTGCCTTCATCAATTGTGTAAGGTTACTCAGCCTAGGTTTATATATTAAAATGCAAAGTGATTACTCTGATTCAGAAGCAGTTGAGTAATAATAGGTGTAAGTAGCAGAAAGGGAGCAAAATTCTAGCCATAGTTTTTAGTAAGTTAGAATTAAAAATGCAACTTGGGCAGGTGACCAAATTGGGCTTCCCACTCCTTTCCAAGTTAAGACTTTTGAAGCCATCTATGGGGAGATTTCAGATTGCAAATACTCTACCCAGCCAGTCACATAGGATATCTCAGGAAGCTTCACAATCCAATGAATGCAGAAGGTCCAAGTATCAAAAAGAGTGAGGTGAGAGGTGTTTAGGTTACCTTTAATCTATTAACATCACCCAAGATAAAAGTATGGGTCAATGGATGTTAGACCTCACCCTTAGTGAAATCATTTTCCTGTGGAGAGGAACCAATGAAAAGGCTGGAAAGAAGGGCAAAAAAGTTTCTTCCAAAACTTACTGAGCAAAAACGTGCAAAAAGGGAATTGGTTTTTACAAACTGGAAAGCAATGAAAACATTTTGTGTCTACAGATTTTACAGTTTCACATACTTAGCAAATTTCAAGATGATCTTTAAGATGTTTTTACCAAATCGTAGACATAGATATGGAAATCATCATCAAATTTGATGAAGTACACAGAGGGTTTTGCTTCCACTTGATGAATGACCATGCCCGTTCTCTTGGAACCATCCTCTTTGGCATATTCCACCTGTTTGCCTACTAGGCTGTCTACAACTTCTCCTGGCTCCCTCTCTGCTGGAGGAGAATCACTGGAATCTTGAAGAACGCGGAGGTCACCATCTTTATAATCATCTAAGAGCTGGTACATATATAATACAGGGTCTTTTTCATAAGTAATGTAAAACCATGAGCTCATTACAGGTGCCTGAGCTAAGACCATCCCCCTCCATTCATTTCTGGAACCTTCCTCTGTCTCAAAAATATGTTCCACTGCTTTGCCAATCATGATTTCTGCTAAGTGTGTGTCACTGATTCTAGATGATGCAACTCTATTGGGAAGGACTTCAAGTGATGACACTCTTTCATCTCTGTGAAGTTCCAATCCATAAACACAGTCAAATCCATCATATTTGATAAGATACAGAGAGGGATTTACAGGTACCTGATCCAGAACGGTTCCCTTCCACTGTGTTAAGGGTTCATCTCCATCTTTCCATCCATGCTGAATTCTGCAACCCACGATATTCCTTCGAGGCTGGGAGGTGAGTCTGCTCCTTTGCTTCTTTTGTGCAACCTTCTTCTTCATCACGGTAACAGATACACTGGCATGTTCTGCGCCTGTCCTGGATCTCTGCCCTGCAGTTGCCTTTCCAAATGGGGTCTTCATGCCTGCAAGCAGGAGTCACTAGGCAGACCGAAAAGGAAATTAAAAACAATAAATAAATTCAATGCATAACACAGTGAGCTTTTAGTCTTATTCAGAGTACCCTGTACACCCACACTTATTTTTCCCAAAAGCTATATGGCAAAGCTGAAAACCAAGGACGCTGGCTGTGTGCCTGGAGTATCCTTCCTCCCCAGCTCCTTCCCGCTGAGCTAGTGCAAGGGAGCTGTGACTTAGAAAGGAAGAAATGGGCATCCGACCATTCCCCCCGCCTTGTGTCCAACACTACTCTGGCCTGGGGGTGCGGATTGCCCACCGTCCCGGATTGAGAGGCTCACGTGCCCAAATCGGACACCTCGCCGCTGCCTCAGCTGTGAGCCTGTGGTGAAGGAGGATCAGCAGGCGACCAGTTGGATGCTTGCAAAAGCTGTGAGGCGACGACGCAAGGAATGAGTTTAGGAGGGCGGCGGGGCTTAGCGAAGAGGAGAGCGGTAGCGTCCCCAGCGCTCGCCTCCCGATCAGCGGCGGCGGCGGCCCCTCTTGCCACATCGGGGTTCCACCAGACGCAGTTACTGCAGCAGTCTCCTCCCTCTTCTCCGTAGCGCAGCTTCCTGCCAAAAGAGAGGCCTCTACTTCCTGCCAAACACTGAGCGGCACCCCCGCCCCCATCAAGCCACACCACACCTCCGGGCCCGGGATGTGCTCCTGGGCCCCTCCCAGTGCCACTGGTCTTGAGGAGCAGGATCCTGCACCGCCTAACCCCTGAGGAGAAGCTCCATGCATTTAGTGTCTCTGCCTCCTTTGCTTTCCATTTTCCAGGAATTCACCCTTTCGTTTCAGCGTGCCCTTATGGAGTTATTCTTTCTATGCAAAAACCTGCCTTTCCTGAGATTTTAAGGGAATTTGGAGGGATGAATGAAATATGCTGCTGTTTAGTGCTCAGACTGCCATCCTGATCCAATCTACTCAATTTTTTTTTGTCATGCCCAGACTTTACTTCTTTTCATCCGTGTTTTCCTTTTTCCTCAGTTGCAAGTGAATTACATGCACAAGTGAACACTGTAAAATTCAGAAAATTGGTACGAAGCAGTTCAACTAAGCCACCTCCCATCTCCTAGGGCTCATAGTGAAATACTAACACTCATTATTTCCTTTACTTTCTTTGAAAGAGAAACAAGGATACTTTTGCATATGCAATTTCATGCCCTGTGTTTTTCCATATAGATACAGTATTTGCTCAGGTTTTTAGATATGTTCTGAAAACATCCTTTGTATAAAATTCATCACAAGGATTTTAAAATAATTTCTTCGTTTCTGCCTAGCTTCAGACATTTAAAAATTTTCTATAAATTGTACTTGTAAATAAATTATTAATCTGTCCACTTGAACAAAATAACATCAATACCAAGTTTACAATAAAACAATTGTTATAATAATTATATTAAGGTCTTTAGGATATAGTTAGGTCATCAGGGTAGAGCCCCCATGTGCCCATACAATATGGAGTTCCCTCTCTCTCTCTCTCTCTCACACACACACACACACACACACACTCCCACTTCCTAACTCCCTCTCTCTTCTCCTTTTCTAAATATGAGGGTATGATAAGAAAAAAGCTAACTGCAATCAGAAAGAGGGGCTTTCCTAGGAACCAGATTGACCAGTATTTTGACCAGCCTTCAGAATTGTGAGAAAGAAATATCTGGCTGTTTACATCAACCAGTCTATGGTAATTTGTTATAGCAGCCCAAATGAAGATAGAATAAAATAGTAAAGAGCCAAAATAATTTGTTTTCTGTACACCAGCACTGAGCAATCCAAAACGGGAAATAAGTAAATATAGGTGATAAGGAAAATAAAATGTTTTCCTACTCTCATGCAGTCACTCAAAAAACTTTTGACACCAGATACATGGAGATTTTCCACACACACCAAGCAAGTAATTTTTCAACAGATATTAATTGGGTATCCTATCATTCAATTCAATTCTGACAGTATCTACCTGGAGACATGAATAAAAAGCAACTAGATTGGAAAGAAAGTTGTAAAGCTATGTCTATTTGTAGTTGACCTGGAGATAGTATCAGATCCCACAGGTAAAAGGCTCAGTGCCACAGACTGTCTCCCACTTCACATTAGCACTTCTGAAAGATCTGTTATAAATCAGGGTTGCAAGGACACCCTTCCTTGGTTCAATTAATTTGTTAGAACAGCTCGCAGAAGACTTTGCTTATATTTTTGCATTTATTATAAAGGATATTACAATGGATAGAGATGACTAGTCAAATTGAAAAGATGCACAGGAAAAAGTGTGGAAAGGGATTTGGAGTTTTTATGCCTTGTTCAGGATGCTAGCTTCCAAGGAACCTGCATGTATCTGGCTATCTAGAAACTCTCCAAATCCTATAGTTTTAGGGTTTTATGGACACTTCATTATGTAGATATGACTGCATCATTAGCTACTTGCAATCAATCCAACTTTCAGCCCCTCTCCTTCCCAATGCTGTTATCACGCCTTGCTATTTCTGGTGTCCAGATTTCATCCTGAGGCTATCTAAGGATCCCCAACCAGCATTTATCTCTTTAGCATCCAAAAAAACACTCAAGAAATTTCAATAGTTTTAAGAGATGTGCACCAGAAAAGGAGAATAAATATCAAATATATATTGCACAATATTACAGTAAATAGTCCCATTTACAATAGCATCAAAAATAACATAACTTAGAAAAACATTTAAATAAAACAGTTGAAATAATTGAAAGATGACAGATATTCAATATTCATGGGAAATTTCATATTTACGTCCTGAAAGACAGTATTGTTTAAAAGACAATTCTTCCCCAAGTTTATTCACAGATTCAATGTAACCTCTATGAAAATCCCAATGTTCTTTTTTTTTCAGGTAAGAAAAGGTCAATTCCTAAAATTCACATGAAACAAAACAATCTTTTAAAAGAACATTTTTCAGGAACTTACACTTCCCAATTTCAAACCTTACCACAAAGCTATAGGATTAAAAAATATGTGGTATTGGTATAGATGTATAGAGAGAAGTGACATAGAATTTAGAGCCCAGAAGTAAGTCCATATTTACAGTAAATTATTTTTTTTTTTTTTATTTTTGACAGGCAGAGTGGACAGTGAGAGAGAGAGAGACAGAGAGAAAGGTCTTCCTTTGCCGTTGGTTCACCCTCCAATGGCCGCCGCTGCAGCCGGCGCACCGTGCTGATCCGATGGCAGGAGCCAGGATCCAGGTGCTTTTCCTGATCTCCCATGGGGTGCAGGGCCCAAGCACCTGGGCCATCCTCCACTGCACTCCCTGGCCATAGCAGAGAGCTGGCCTGGAAGAGGGGCAACCGGGACAGAATCCGGCGCCCCGACCGGGACTAGAACCCGGTGTGCCGGCGCCGCAAGGTGGAGGATTAGCCTATTGAGCCACGGCGCCGGCTCTACAGTAAATTATTAATAAATGTGCTGAGACAGTTAAATGTGCCAAGAATTATCTTTTCAATAAAAAGTGCTATGATAACTAGATATCTATGGGAAAAATAATGCATTCAGTTATCATCACACAATATATAGTAAATAACTAAAACTGGGTCAAAGACATAAATATAGGACCTACAAACATAAATTTCTTATAAGAAAACATAGAGATATAGCTTCATAACCTTGGATTTGACAAATATTTCTTACATATTATTAGCAGAGATGGGTGGGATAGGTTTTTGTCTTGGTGAAAGAAAGAACTCAGAGATGAGATAGTGAGGAGTGGTAAGCAAGGTAACAAGGTTTAATGGATTAAGGCATCCATCAGAATGGATGGGCCTTCCCCAGATTGAATCTGAGAGAAAATACCCAGTCATTCAGGCTGGAGAAAGCAAAGTTACATGGTTTAATAGAGAGAATACACCTGACAGGCCAGATGGGAGGCTCAGAGACCTGAGATCTGAGCACACAGTTTGCATTCAGACTGGGGCTTATAAGGCAAAGGAGTCCAGTTATTTCTGCTGTTTCTCCTTCCCCTACCCCTGTTCTCCAGGACAAAGGAGTGTGAATTAGGTAACATGCCTCCCAAGATTCCATTACTCAGTGCTATTATCTCATTTAGTGGATATCTCACTTGGCACTGGGTAGAAGAGCTTTCCCTAGGGTGCCTTCATTGGAGAAAGACTGTGAAGGTTTTATTGCCCAGTGTTATCCAGCCAGGTAGCCCATTAGTGCTGAGCAGAGAGGATTCTCCTTGGTAGCTTTCCTTGTGGGAGAAAGCTGAGACCACCTGTAAAGTCATCCGGATATAGGCAGTACTTTGTAGTGTAAAATACTGGGCTGCTTCCAAGGTGTGTTTCTGAGGTTGTTACATTCTTCTCCAAAGAAACTTTTGTTTTCTTCAGGCCCCTCACACACATAGGCTATTTCTAACTTCCTATCTAAATATATGACAGCAAAACCACAGGTAACACACAACATAAATACATAAATTGGATAGAATCAAGAAAGTGAAAAGACAACCCAGAAAATCAGAGAAAATAGTTTCAAATCACATTCATCAAAAGATTCTCCTATGCAACATTTTATTTATTTATGATTCTTTGATAATCATAGATATTTTGACTTAATGCTTAAATGTTTGCTTTTGATATTTTGAATATAGTACACAGATACAATTCAAAGAATATAATGATCTTCCCTTCCTACTTCCTCCTTCCTTTATTTTTCCTTTCTTTCTTTCCTTCTTTCTTTCTTTCTTTTTCTAGTTTTTGAGATAACATTTTTAATTTACATTAAAGTCAATGGCTTAATGATCCATCAAATAAAGAACAACAACGAAAAAGTAAAAAGATCCTACTGTAGCAGGAATACAGGCAAGTGCTATAAACAGTCAAATGTAAAGATGACCATTTCACCCATATACAGTAAAATTTAAAATAATCATAGATAATTGAAACTATAGTAGTATAGCATTCTTAACCATTGGTTTGACAAAGGTATAAAACAAAGTTTGGTGAAATTATATTTGCATCATTACTGATGTACAAAGGCATTTCTTCCTTTTTTTTTTGTTCTTTTTTTACTTCTTTAATTTTAGCTCACACATATAAGGGAGCGTTAGGTAGGAAGTCAGATATGAGCTTATGTGTGTGTGACAAAGGCCTAAGAAGACATCTATGTCCAGCATATGCATCTCAAAGTCATCCCGATAACCTTCCAGGGGTAGCCCGGTATATACATCCTGCCCTGCCCCTTCTACCCAATAACCTGCTAGATGGGGGTCCCCGCCCCTTCTGCCTGATAATTTTCCAGGTGCAGCCCAGTATCTTCATTTCAAATATCCTGCCCAGATCCCGACCTTCCAGGGTGTCCTGCTCATCCTTCCTCTAACCGGGGTGGTGCCTTCCAGGATTCCTCCTATCTGATAACTTCAGGGGGAAAACTCAGAAAGGAATTTTTAG